AAAGCGGCATGGAAAACCATTTTAAAATTTGAAATATTTGTAAGGTTGAGTTGGAGAGCAGACTGGAGTTAGAATTTAGCAGTATTAACTAACAACAGTATTGATCTCGGTGAGGAAAGCATGGTTTTCTCTGGGTACCCACACTCATTTCTGAATACACTCGTGCAATGATCTAGTCCAAGAGAACTCATTCCCCTCCTGATGCATGATAAGTGAGATACTTTCTCTAATCATTACAGCCAGGGTCAGTGCTGTGGACTTATTGACTTAATAAGGGAATATCAGAATCTGAAGTCAGCTGTGTGTAAAGTTCTGGAAAATGCTGGCAACGTTATTGCCACGAGAGCTGCCATGAAGGACCAGGAGGACCTCAAGTGGGCTTTTTCCAAGGTAAAATGCAAGTGCACTTATTTAAATGGTCTTCTGTGTTCATTCATGCATTTTATTCTTAGAGCAACTCTCTGCACAATTATTCCTTGTTAGTACATCTACCTATGGACAATTCCTGTTAGCAGTTTAACCTTTTTTCTAAAAATACTAATATTCTAAAAAAAATTATTCAAGAAAATTATATATATATATATATATATATACATATATATACACACATAATATATACCTGTCTATATGTATATACAGGTATGTGTATAAATACATATACATATTCACACATTATCATTAGTTTCTGCAAAAAATGGAACAAAACGCATCTCTTAGAAGGCAAATGTTTTTAAACCCTCATCACTGATTGTTTTGCTAATTAAGGAAACATTTTATGTCCACAGCATGAAACCGCCAGGAACGAAATGAATTCTAAACAGAAAGAGTTGGATAGTTTTACCAGCAAAGGCAAACAGTTGCTGTCTGAGCTGAAAAGAATCCACAGCGGAGATTTCAGCTTGGTCAAGACTGACATGGAGAGCACCCTGGACAAGTGGCTGGATGTAAGAGCGCCCCCTGGAGTCCGTGAGCAGCTTGCATGCTGGGTCTTGCATGCAAACCGGCAGAGGATTCACCAGAGACTGGGACTCCAGAGTTTTTAGAGTTAACTCCAAAGTGAAGAAAAATAATAGCTGGAGATAGAAAAAGTTCCGTGAATTAGTTTGACAAAACTTACTGGCATATTTCTGGAATTTCATTTGATAACTACAAGCACGACAAATTGTAACATAGAATGTTTACCTTCTCAAAATGTTGGCGTTATGGATAAAAATTGGATGGTTTATCCATATCTGGTAGAAAATTAAATTGCAATAAATGTGAATTTACAGAATAGAGGCTGTAGTCTTGCACTGAGGAGGACCAGGCTTGTACTTTAGAAGTCTCACTTTCAGTTCTTGCACCATCATTCACTAGCTCCATGGCCAGACACTAAATATTTTCTGTATCACAGACATGCTCAAATCTAATTGATGTCCATCTCCGTATCACAGCATTGCAAATAAAAGTGCTTATAGTGCTGCTTTGAAAACAAATGCAGAGATGGCTCAGAAGTTAAGAGCACTGGCTGCTCTTGTGGGAAGTCCAGGTTTGCTTCCCAGCGCTCACACAACAGCTCACAGCCATCTGTAACCCTAGCCCCAGGGGATTTGATTCCCTCTTCTGGCCTATGCATGCACTGCACACATGTAGTGCATATATACATACAAACATATACATATATATACATACATACAAGCAGGCAAAAACACCTGTACATATAAAAATAAGTTTTAAAAAATAAAGAAAATAAATTCAATGCCATCCTATATGGACCTTAGTCCTATAGACTCCTATGTAGTGAGTGACACTTCTGTGTATTCTAACATACCCTTTGTCTTCAGTACCCCAACTTATGAATGAAAAGTGACTGTCTCAGGATTCAAACAACTGTCCCATTGATATTTTAGTCTATGTATTGGTTGGCATTTAAGGTACACTAATTAATGAATAATTTTGTCCGAATATCATTTTTCTTATCATGAAAGCATTGGTAGGGGAGTGAGGGTTCCAGAACCTCCTATTTTGATGATCTGGCTCCTGTTTTCCTTCCCAGATATCAGAGAGAATTGAAGAAAACATGGACAGGTTAAGAGTGAGCATGTCCATCTGGGATGATGTCCTTTCAAGCAAAGATGAGATTGAAGGATGGTCCAACAGCTCTCTTCCACAGCTGGCTGAAAACATCAGCGACCTGAACAGCAGCCTCAAAACTGAAGAATTCCTGAAGGAATTTGAGGTAACTGACAGTACATACATGCAGAGGTAGGGGTACGTGATTATATAAAATAAGAGAGAAAAAAAGGGTATTTCTAAGTCCATTCTGCTTTTCAAAGACACAGAAGAATATGACAAAAGTCACCTATTGATGATTTTAAAAATTGATTAGTCTCTGGTTAAGCATTTTTAATAATTATTTCTTAGTTGGGGCTTATATGAGTAACTTTTCTGTTGGTGTCATAAAATACCCTGACAGAAATCAGCTCTGGAGAGGAAGGGTTTATTCAGACTTATAATTCCAAGAAGGATACAGTCCACCTTAGCGAGGACAGCCTGGAAGCAAGGGTGTGAGGCTGGCCCACCACATCCGAAAGTGTTGCCGACCCTGTGACATATCTGTTAATAAATCAGTGCACTAGAGTCCGCCCAGTCCCTGGCCCTGTCCTTTCTACTGCCCTCCTTCCCGCCATGCTCCGAGTGAGCGGAGGTCAGCAGGTGACTTCCCTAAACACCCAGCCGTTTCTCTGTCAAAGGCCACCAGGCCTGGCAGGGAGATCCATACGGTACAATAAATTGCTTTCTGAGCTCAAGCCATTGGAAATTCTGTGGTCACAGAGCCCTAGATCCTGTTTTTCCAGCTGAGGGGGCTCTTGCATTAAATATTCTTTTGTGACTCAGAACTATGAAGTTTATGAGTGTCCTTGCTCGATAATGAATCTTGGTTTGGTATTTTTTTTTTCATAGGTTAATTGTTGATTCCAAACATGGGGGAGGTAAAATATCAAATGTCAAAATTATTTCTGCTTCAAGGTCTTGTAAATACTTATGTGAAGCATGTCTTCTGTGTGCTGTGGACAGTCGCTGAGCAGTCCCCGTGTGCATTGGTTTTAGCATGCTCCTGTAAGACTTTGCCGTTGCCATGGTAACTGGTAATAATACTGCTAATGAATAAATGGCAGCCTAGTGGACATCCTTACTGACTCAATGCTTTTGGTCAGTGTTTCATTTTTTCCAGGGGAATTTTTTTTGTTGTTCCAATAAAAGAGGGTGGGAAGGGAGAAATTCCTACATACCCCCTCTTATTCAGAGTGAACGTTAACGGTAACATTTTCCACACTAGTGAAAAAGTTGGGCGGACTTTCTAAATACTGCTGGAAGCCGGTGTCCTGCCAGTTAGCGCTCAGTATGAGATGCCAAGCGTAGCCTGTCGGTCTTTGGATTAGTGATGTCCTTCCCCTGTGTCTTTGCTTTCATAGTCTGAAGTTAAAAACAAAGCCTTGAAATTGGAAGAACTGCGTTCCAAAATCAGTGATCTTAAAGAACTGACGAAGAACCCAGAAACACCCACGGATCTTCAGGTAAGCAAAAGATGACTTCTGTAATAAATACCATGTAACAGCCAATCACAGCATCACTCCCAAAATACAAAATGTATGTGTATGTGTGTGTAACTGTATATGTATCTATAGCACCATAATTCTTGGCAAACATGTGGACTTTTTCATATACGGGTTAAATATTAACATCACTAGAATTCTTTGTGACAATAATTATAGCATATTTACATTTCAGATATCATAACATTATAATGAGGGTAGTTCTCTTTTCCTTACTGAATTTTGGATGCATTATCAGCCCGATTGTTTCTTGGTACATTGTATATTTAGACAGGAATAGACACCCCCCCCAATGAGTATGTGTTCTTACTAATAATATGCTAATTCATTTACACAGTAACTAGGCTAGGGGACAGGGTTAGGATCGCCAATGTCTGTGCATGGTCCTGTAGATGGTCCCAGTCCCAGGAACCATGAGGCAGGTCAGGGAGGAGCTGGGTTGGCCAGGGAACCTGGGCTTCCCTAGCATCCGAGCCCAGCGCCCAGTCTGGTAGGTATGCCTTGATTGACACTTCAGCAGCTCCTGGTTGAGGTCTCTGTGGAGTCTTTCTCTACTTTCTTTTAGATACGTTCATGGATTTTTTTCTTCTTGCTGTACCATTGTCCCTGATTCTCTCTTTAACTGATGTAGCCGGGCTTGGCACTGATCTCAAGCAGGTCTGGGAATGCTGGACATTCCACCTGAAGCAAAGGAAGTGACTGACATTCATATTCACAGCTGAGCAGAAGGGATAATGATTACTGTCACATATATTTGGGACATCAGTGGGCAATGAGCTATTGCAGAGTAAGGATTAAGCAAGGATTTGGGGTGTGGGCTATGGTGGTTCTGCATCCCTCCTCTTTCTCTCTACCTGCCCCCCTCCCCCATCCCAAGGAAGAGGTGTGAGATATCTTTCCTGGCCTCTAGTATAAGTAGAAGAGTTTCTGTGATGCCACTTAGTGGGCAGCATAATTTGTCCCCTACAGTTGGCAGTCACCGGCATCTGGTTTCCAAACTTCTACCAGGCAGGCTGGCTGACTTCTGATGTATTTGCCAAAGAGCAAATGCTTGGTATGGGTAGCCTGCATCTCAGCAGCAGATGGAGGGCAAGGAGTACCAGCATGTGGCCTCAGCCCAGAAGTTATGAGTGAAGGAAGAGACCGCTCTTCGAGGCCACAGTGTGAGGACAGCTAAGGTGTCTAAGAGCACTCTCTCGGGGGATGAACCCAGAGATGCCTTGGGCTGAGAAAGGAGAGTAAAGAGGTGGTAGAGAGTGTACAGGCTCCTCTAGGGACTTTCAGCTGGGGTCCCAGCAATGAGAGCACCCCCCCCCAAAAAAACCCCACAAACTGAGAGACGTGGGCCCATGAGGGGCGGCTCTCACTTGTCTGTGAGTCTTCGGTTCAGAATGCCCCACTCACCTCCCGCCCATGCAGGCTTGCGGCGCCCACAGCGGTGCCCAGCAGGGATGGAGTCACAGCAAAGCCAGCAAAGAGGCTCGAAGCTCCTTGCTCACAGCTGCTCTGAGCTAAGAGTTAAGAAAATACAACAAACCTTTGTGTTTGGTGCCTTTGCCAAACAGTGATGACCTTTGAATTGTGGGATCAGGGCCGCTTTTTCAGGGTAGAGTGGTTGTTTCCCTTTATTAACTCGGGAGGCACAAAAATCAACTTTCCTAAAATACTTCATCTGAGGAGAAGGAAGCTGTGCATCTCAAGGGATAAAATTGGTTCACCATTAAATCTATGGCGGGGGTTCCTCCAATCAGAGTCCCTGCCAGGCAGGGCCTGTGTGAGTGTTTCTTGTGGAGAATTAACAGCAGGCTTTTGGTCTAGCTTTGCTTTTAGGAGGTGACCTCCCCTTCCCGGGAACCTCCATCCAAACCACACTCTATTCAAGTCCAGGGTTAGCTGCAGCTCTGGTCTTTCCCCTCACTCAATGTGTTTGGCAGGCCACACTCCCTGGTTTTCCATCCTGGGAAAAAGCTATTAGTCTTGGAGTGGCTTGCATGGTGAGTCTAATGTGTTCTTGATGGAGTTACATGTAAACAGAATTCCTGGCGGGTGAGTGTGCCTTTCTTTAGTCCTCCCAGATTTTCACGAACTCTCGCTTTATATTTAGTTTATAGAAGCCGACCTGCGGCAGAAGCTGGAGCACGCCAAAGAAATCACCGAGGAAGCGAAGGGGACCCTGAAGGATTTCACTGCTCAAAGTACCCAAGTGGAGAGATTCGTCAAGGACATAACAACGTGGTTGACCAATGTGGAAGAATCGTTGACCAGATGTGCCCAAACGGCGACGTGCGAAGGGCTGAAAAAAGTCAAGGTAGGTCGAACCCAGCTTTTCGTGTTTCCCCTTGAAGTGTAAATTCATTCTCTTATTTTGTAAGCATGATAAACACAGAGTGTCTGCTTCCAACTACCCAGATTTAAAGTATTAACAGCCAGACTAACTAATTCATAACATTGGACACAGCAGGGTAAGTGGCCTAAGAAGAGCTAAATGCAAGCGTCAGGCAGTGAACGATGGATAAAAAAGTAGACAGCATGCACTGTTGTGGACCCTGCCGGCGGGCTATGGCCATGCATGTAGATATCTCCCTTTTCGTGAAAGGCGGAAGCCTATGGGGAGCCTGTTGGACTTTGCATCAACTTTTAAGCCTGGGCCTCAAACTGTTTTTCATCACTTCCTTATCTTTTTGTTTAATGTGAACATTTGCATCTGTAGAGCATTGTGGGTTTTTTTTTTTAAAGTAATGAAATTACCCAGTGTCCTCTCTCCAGGTTAACAGATGACAGTCCTGCTCAGCGGTTTGTAAAGCATACATATTGTATTGACTTCTCAACGTTGTTCTTTTGAGGATCTTTTTCTCTTCCTGTGCGTGAGAGTGTGTGTGTGTGTGTGTGTGTGTGTGTGTGTGTGTGTGTGTGTGTGTCTTTGTAACCTACTGAGTCCATTTATTGATTGTATGTCGGTGTTTATGACTTGGGGCTAGATAACGTATCAGGGAGCCTGTCCCTAGAGAAGATTGATTCTCCCTACCTTAGCAGCCATTAACTTCCTGTAGCTCTTTGTCTAGAGGCGAGGCCTTATGAGGTTCCCTCCATTTATGTTGAGATGTCAGTTGGTATTATCACTGTACATCTCTGCTTAGGTAAGCACATTGATAAGATTTCATGAGTAGTACAGCTCCTTACCATATATAAGAGATGTTCTTAAATCCCACCCATAGGTATACACAACTGAGGAGATTTCTACATTGTTACTTTCAGATTTGAAAAAACAAATACCAGAGTGAAATAATGACAGTATTTCTCTTGAATGGGATGAGTGCCCTTTGTATATATTCACAATGTGCTTTCATCACCTAGGACATACAAAAAGAACTTCAGAGTCAACAAAACAACATCAGCTCCACCCAAGAAAATCTCAACAGCCTGTGCCGGAAGTACCACTCAGTGGAGTTGGAGAGCCTGGGCCGGGCAATGACTGGGCTAATAAAGAAACATGAAGCCACAAGCCAGCTGTGTTCCCAAACTCAGGCCAGCATGCAAGAGTCTCTGGAAAAACACTTCAGTGGTGAGTTGAGGGGCGTTAGTCTAAATCACTGCCTACGAGAGGTTGTCTGGACCAAATGCTGTTCAAAAGCTGCCAGCCAAAGTTTGAGCAAATCTTCCAGTTGGAATAGTGTTTTAAATTTGTTCGTGCTCTGAGATTTGGGTAACAAAAGTTCTGTTCCACAGGCTCTAACCTCTCAGAGAATGTTTCCCCTTTCTCCTTGAGAGAACAGGAGTCTACCCATCTTGATTATTCTGAACTTGACCTGAATCTTAACATAAGAGCTTGTGCATGTGAAGAACTACCTCCGTTCATGTGGTCAGCAACTGCTACCCAAATAGCTAAGGACACCTTTTCATGCTAGCGTGAATCATTTCTATAAACATGGATGTTGGAAGAGGCCGTAGCAATGACAGCCGTATGATCCAGAAAATTCCCACTCCCCGAGTTTGCTTCTGAGAAGCTGTGTTCCCCTCTGATGTGGGTACATAGTGGCTTTCTAAGTCAAGGCAGCAAAACAAGGAAGTGGTTCCTGCCCAGGCCATAAAGAAAACCTTTCTTTCAGGGCTGGCAAAAGGGCTCATGGGTAATCAGCTTGCTCTTCAAGCATGATGAGCTGAGTGTGAATCCTCTCCCTACATGTACACAAAAAACTGGCTCTGGTGGCACATGTCTGTATTCCAAGTGCTGGGGAGGCCAAGATGGGTAGACACCTGAAGCACACTAGCCAGTCTGGCTGAATGCATGAACTCCAGGTCAGTGAGAGACTCTAGCTCAGAAAATAAAGATGGATAGAAACACAGGAAGACAACTGATATAGAGTTCTGACCTCCATACACAGGCACACACATGCATATGTAAGCACCTACATGTGCACACACATGAACATGCATGTACATATCTTTAACACTCCTGAGCATGTTTCTCCTGCATTCTTATAAACTCCCAAAATAAAGGAACACAATATAAAATCAAGCATTCCAAGTATTTTACTACTTTTCAGTCTTTGAGTTAACTTTTCCATCCTACCATAAATATTCATAGCTGTAGATCACATTATAATAATTTCTGTCTCATTATTTGCTTTTTGAAGTGTTTTTAAAAAGCAAGATAAGATGGGCTGGAACACAGAAATAGTTTATTGTGACAATTCTAGGAGCTCACTCAACATTTTGGATTTATCCTTTTTTTTCTTTATTTCTCAAAAGATTCTATGCAAGAATTCCAAGAATGGTTTTTGGGAGCAAAAGCAGCAGCCAGAGACTCTTCTGACCTAACTGGTGACAGCCAAGTTCTAGAAGCCAGACTTCAGGATCTGCAGGTATAGATGCCATGGTGCTGGTGTGGATGCCATGGTGTTGGTATGGATGTTGTGATGCTAATATGGATGTTATGGCGCTGATATGGATGCTGTGATGCTTATATGGATGTCATGATGCTGATGTGGATGCCATGATGCTGATATGGATGTTGTGATGCCGATATGGATGTTGTGATGCTGATATGGATGCTGTGATGCTGATATGGATGTTGTGATGCTGATATGGATGTTGTGATGCTGATATGGATGTTGTGATGCTGATATAGATGCTGTGATGCGGATATGGATGCTGCTCATATGAATGCTGTGATGCTGACATGCATGCTGCTGATATGGGTGTTGTGATGCTGATGTGGATGTGGATATCGTGATGCTAATATGGATGCTGTGATGCTGATATGGATGCTGTGATGCTGCGCTCTTCCTTCCCAGATGCACTCACTGCCTTTGGTCAGACCCAGGCTGTTTCCTACTCTTTCCTTGCCTCAATCTTCTTATTTTGGTTCATCTTTTTTCCTGTTATGGAGTTGGGATGTTGAGTCAGAAGGTGTTAGGCAATAAGGAAAATCACAGAAAAAAAAAACAAGCTGGAAACTATTTAGATCTTGTTTTTTAACCCACTGGCCATTATTTAAGTCATTCAAAATGAAACTTTATTTAACTTTTATAGCAGTAAAATCATTAATATTTTCTAGCACTATTGGGGAACTTATGGGAGTTGTTTGTTGTCTATTTTTCAAAGGAAAAAAAAAGCATACCTTGTGTCCTTTTCTTCAACTCGTGGCCTACATGTGGAAATGGGTTCAAACCAGAGTAATGGCTATTACAGGTTATTTGGGTTTTATTGACTAAGAAAAATATATGCATTTAGGAAGATGGCTATTATAAAGCAGAAGTCAAGATTAACTTGACAGAAGAATAGGTTCAAAAAAGGTTTTGGCGAAGGTTTCATAGCCACTTTTCTGAATAGAGCACAATGCTAAGTATTGTCAAACCAATGGTTTTTGGGTTTTGTTTGATTGGTTTGGTTTGGTTTTTGTTTTGTTTTGTTTCATTTTATTTTTTTGTGGTTTTGTTTTTGTTTTTTGTTTTGTTTTGTTTTGTTTTTGTTTTGATTTTTGTTTTGTTTTTGAGACAGAGTTTCTTTGTGTAACAACCCTGGCTATCCTGGAATGCACTTTATAGACCAGACTGGCCTCAAACTCACAGAGATCCAACTTTCTCTGCCTCCAGAGTGCTGGGATTAAAGGCATGTGCCACCATGCCCAGCTCCAATGTGTAGTGCTATTTGTAATCTAAGAAGTAAAGCTTGCCTGAAGGTCGGACAGAGGACAGAGCCCAGTCACAGAGTGAAACATACTGGCCAGGCAATGGTAGCACACACCTTTAATCCTAGCAGTTGGGAGGCAAAGATCCATCTGGTTATCTGTGAGTTCAAGGCCACACTGAGCTACAAGAGTCTAGGAGAGAAACAGAACCAGGCAGTGGTGGCACACACCTTTAACCCCAGCATTTGGGAAGCATACACACCTTTAATCCCAGCACTAGCATGGTTGAGATAGGAAGTGAAATGGCTGGGCAGAGAAGGGCATATAAGGCGTGAGGAGACAGGAACTCTAGAGGCCCTTTCCACTGAGGACTCAGAGGCATTCC